AAATAGTTCAGTTTTGTATGTAATGGAAAAGTGACTATATTTTGTATAGTGTTTTTATAAAGTAAATTTAGAAAAATGTTTGGTGCATTTTTTGTTTGTTAATATGTATTTTTTTTTTAAGTAACGGCCAGCGGTAGACAGTGAGTTGATCATAGCCTATATGTTTTTATCAATTTAGCCTTCTCAAATCATCGCGACTTGCCTACAATAAAATCTATAGATATAAAACAGTTCAAGCATATCACAATGTTAGTTTAATGTTTAACCTAGATAAATGTGCGCTGTTAGACGCATATCCAATCGTTCGTGTGGAAAGCTGAAGCTAAAGCGCGCTCGGCAGCACACGGAGGCGCCAGCGCCATCACTTGCAACAGTGGAAACAACTTAATACACAGTAATTTTTGCTCATAAAGGTAAGAGTAATACATCATTCTAAACTGTAAAGGGTCTAGTTTTATTTGTGTGCACTCACAATACCAAGAAAACCTTGTGCTTTTATAAAATAAAGAAGACAAACGCTTTCTGCTGTCTCGGGCTTGAACAGGAGCGCTTCACAATGATGAACCTAAACGCTGATGATGAACATCACTTCATAGAGTTGCTGTTTTTAAGTAGTAAAAAATTATCATCATATGTTTGCGGTCTGTTGTAACTGAAAAAAAAATGTTCATCCTGATGAATTCTGTGTTTCAGGGGTTTCTGGTGCTGGTTGGGGTGTGAGTTACAGTCCTTCACACATCTGTGCACTAAAGAACTCATCAGTGATAATGAGCTGCACTTATACATACCCTACTGGATATAAGATCATGAAAGCGTTCTGGACCAAAAACCCTGTAAAGGGTGAAGAGCCTCCAGATCTGTCTGAGGATCCTGAATACAGTCAGAGGCTTCAGTATCTGGGAGACACACAGCAGAACTGCAGCATCAGACTGAGTCATGTGACACAGAAAGATGAACACATGTACTATTTCAGATTCATCTCTGATAAATCTGATGGAAAATGGACTGGTGATCCAGGAGTGACTCTTACTGTCACAGGTGACTTTCATGAGGCTGAGCTCTTCTTCTGTGCATTATGTTGAATAATAATCAGTGTATGACAGCAGCACTAGATATAATGTGTGTGTTGTGTTCAGATCTTCAGGTGGAGGCTCCTGAGAGAGTGACAGAGGGTCATAATGTCAGTCTGACATGTAAAAGCAGCTGCACTCTGACTGACAGAGCAACATTCATCTGGTACAGAAACTCACAGCCATTAACTGAGAGAAGAGACGGAAACAATCAACTCCTGCTGCAGTCAGTCAGAAGAGAGGATGCAGGCAGATACAGCTGTGCTCTACATGGACACAGTTACATCTCTCCTGCTGCTCAGCTCAGTGTCACGTGTGAGTACTGATTCATTTGTTCTTTTTAAAAACGTTTTATTTATAACTTTCACAGACTTTAAAGACACAACTCTTCCATCTACACTTGACCCTCTAACGCTAGCACTCTCTATTCTACTTGTATTCAATCGACTTGTTTTCTTTTTATTTCTTAAAAAAAAGAACTTGACCCTCTAACAGATAAAACCGTCTGCTAAATAATTCAATGTAAATGTAAAATTTTGGAACTACACATGTAATTTATGTCCTCTCTAGATGCACCAAAGAACGTCTCAGTGTTCATAAATGGGTCTGGTGAAATAGTGGAGGGAGATTCAGTGACTCTGAGCTGCAGCAGTGATTCAAACCCTCCTGCAGAAATCAGCTGGTTTAAAGGAGGAACGTTTGTAGGATCTGGAAGAATCTACAGCATCTCAAACATCAGCTCTGATCACAGTGGAGAATACAAGTGCAAGTCCAGAAATGAACATGGAGAGAAATACTCTGATGCTGTGACTTTAAACGTCATGTGTGAGTTAATCATAAAACAAAAGATGCTTATTCTCTGTTTTTTTTTCTCATCTGTTAAGTTCTTATGAGTAATTTTAAAAATGTGTAAAAGGTTTTAAATAATCAATTTGGTGATTGTCATTAGATTCTCCGAGGAATGTCTCAGTGTCCATAACTGGATCTGGTGAAATAGTGGAGGGAGATTCAGTGACTCTGAGCTGCAGCAGTGATGCAAACCCTCCTGCTCTGAACTTCAGCTGGTTTAAGGAGAATCAAAGCTCAGCTGTTGGATCTGGACAGAGTTTCAGTGCACTACAGAGTGGACGCTTCTACTGTGAGGCTCACAATCAACATGGATCTCAGAGATCAGACGCTGTTACTGTCACAGGTGAAGCTTTTATTAACACACTCCTGTATCTTCACATCATTCATCAGTGTGTTAATTATGATGATCTTCATCTTTCAGTTCATCCTGGTGCTGATAGGAACGTGATTGTGATCGCAGCAACATCTGGAGGAGTATTCATCATCATCATCATCATAATCATCATCTTGTTTGCAATGTGAGTTAAATAAAAAAAAACTGCAGAGATTATATATTTTCACTTTTGTTCTGATGTATTAGAAATGGCTCATGCATTATTGATTATTAGTAATCCTTAAGAACAGCATTCATATTTTTTCATATGCTGGTAATGTCTGTCCTTATAACAGGATGAAAAGAAAGAGTGTTAAAACTGAAGATCTCACAATGAAACAGGTAAATCATCCACGACATAACTTTACAAAAGCAGAAACTAAATTAATCAAATTATGTCCTATTCTTCTCTACTCCATGAGTGACTCAAGGAAATATACTTTGTATTTTGCATCACTACATTCATGTGATTTGATAAGTCACACTTCTGTGTTCTGAGAATCTACACTTCAGACATCTCTTAATTAATAATTATGTCGTTTTTTTTTTTATTTAAAAAAAATATCTTTATGCTGATGTGTCACAGAGAGTTTCGGTTCATGACGAGTCTCTTACTAAACCTGATACAGTCAATGATGCTGCGTATGCCAATGTGAAGCCCAGCAGATTCAGAGGAGAAACTCCTGAATCCAGAGATACTGAGGTGATCCAGTACGCAACTGTCCAGTATCACCAAAAGAAAGAGACGAACAGACCGGAAGACAATGAATGTCAGTATGACGAAATAAGAGTTCATCAGCCTGATGCTGCCGAGAGGTGAGAAAAATCCAACATCACCAGCATCATCATCTAATCAGAGCTGTAACATCGTCCTGTTTGTTTTGATTTTTCAGGCAATCAAATGTTCAAACTGTGGAAGATGCATCTGTGATCTACAGCACCCTCAAATGAATGATACAGACCACCGAACACAAAGCCTGTGCTCGACTGTTTAATGAGTGATTGTTGGATAATTGTACAGTTGTGGAATAATTTACTCATCTGTTCAAACCACAACCACTATAAACATGTTCAACACCCACATTAAGATGCATTTGTTATTTTTTCGTAAAACAAAATTTTCCACCATTTGGAATTGAACCATTTCATCTTCAGACCATGTCAACTAAAGCGAAATTAATTTGATCAGTCAAACCATTTCCGACTAATGCACAAACAAATTTGTCAAAAAGCTCACCAAAGTGGAAGTGAATTTTGAACAAACATGCTGTATTGTACGAATGCATTGGTGTATTGTTATGAAGCTTGGTATGTGTCTTCAACACCAGGCCCTGAATGTAGTCAACATGTTTTGTAATAGCATGGTCAAAAATTGTAATGAAATTTCAAAAACACGCCAATATTTTTTTATGATTAATTTAGCCTATTGTCATGAAACTAGAAAAACTACTACAAGGCAAGTTTATTTATATAGCACATGTCATGCACAATAGTAATTCAAAGTGCTTTACATAGAAAGGAAGTCAATTAATCATATAAAAAAAAGAATCACAACAATAAAACAATGAATTTATAAACTTTTAAAATGATAAAAAAAATAGATTTAAAATTCATTTAAAACAGTTCATCGATATAAATGCGTCACTGTTCAACACATCGGACCTCTTTAAGATTAAAAAACACAAATGAAGACAGTTATTATATTATTGATGAAGAAACTAGAAAGGTATAACCTAAGGAACATTTCCCATTTTGTTTAAAGAGGTTTTTTCCCAGTAAGGTTTCAAGTAAATTACCTCCGTTTTCAAAACAAATCCTGAATCACATGATCTTGATGAAACAATTACTTTCTCGAAGTGACCATCTCATGCACACTTGACTTGTCTGACTGTAGGATATGAAAAATAAACTAAAAAGTGTCTATACTGACTAACAAATGAAACTAGTAACAATTTATGGAAATATATTGTACAACTACATACTCAACAACACACTATTAATTGTATAGCAAAAGTGCCATGTACAAAAAAAAAAAACTCACTTTATCTACCATATTTTGCATATTTTGTAAATGAATCAGCCTTTTAGAAAAAATAAATTAAAACCTGTAAAAACCTAGATCTCTTCTCCAGATTAGTTTTATTGTGCGAGTTCCTGAAGTTTGGTTTCATGGGAAGATCATTTCAGGTCTTACAAAAGTTCAGTGCCGTAAAACATATACAGTGGGTACGGAAAGTATTCAGACCCCCTTACA